TGCAAAAGGTAAGCTGGTCTTCCAAAATTTTATCACCTTATTTGAATTGAATAAATTATATGTTTATTCAAAAAAAAGTCGGCTTTTTAACTCAACTTTAGATTAAAAACTGCACTATCTCAGAAAAAGGATTTGTTTAGTATTATGCATTTGCGAGTAAAACTTACAAAAATTACAAATTCGTATTAATTTTTCTGACTTTAAAAATCTAAATTATGCGTGTCACACATAGATTGAGCAGCATTTTCCGTTTTCTTTTCTTCCTCAATTTATTTCACGGGTAAACCTTTTCCACTAATTTTTTGCCACAAATTCTCAATAGAATGAGTTTTCAAACAATTAAGCATTATCTACCTCTCTTCTGGGTATTTTTATCTATTTAAATCCTGCCGCTTAAGATCATCCATAAAATCATCTAAATTTCTTATCCGATTTTCAAAGACAGCGACGAAATATTTGTGCTCGGAGTGGTTTTTTCTTCTACGGACAAAAATCGATTTTTTAATTAGCGACTAGTGACGAATTTCTGAATCATTTTAAAATAAAAAACATTCGTTGCCCAAGTTTGAAAAATGTTACGAAATTTCAACTAAGTGGAGGTTTATTTTGTCTTACAACTTGTTACAAATTGAACTAGGCAAGTTATTCTTTGGACTAAAAGTTTTGCTATGAGAAATATCATTTCTATGTTCTATATCGTGTGGGGATATGGTTTGCAAAAATTCTAATTTTTTTTAATAATAACTTTTTTTCAAAACAAACACTACTCCATTGACCTTAAAAGGCGGTTGAACATTCCAAGTTTTGCCATGATACAAGCAGTCTTGTTGTTCCGGCTTTCTAATATATATGTTTGAGTTTTTCTTTCTTATTTCTAAAAGATTGTTTGCCCACTAAGTTGATCGATTCCTAGATCTTTGTGGGGCATCGAACCTGACGCGAAATTAATCTGAAAAAAGATGAAACGAGTCCAACTGAGCTGCGTGTTAGATACTTTGATGGTGAAAAGCTATAATTACTTATGCGTGTCAAGTTATCCTTAGCTAAATCATTTAAATTTAAATAAAGCAAGCTAATTGGCCTTGTTTGTTCCAAAATTTACTCAAATGTATCACTTATAAATGATATTTTCAGTCGAAAATTCATAGTTAGTCAAATTTCATTCACCAGAAACTATTCGAGAAGACTAAAAGGACAGTCGGAACATTCAAGTTGCTCTGATACGAGCAGTCGTGTTATTCTTGCGCTCCTTATATGCATATTTAGCTCAGACAAATGCGCGCATACAATACTTTGTATTTTTTTTGCAGACTGATTTTTTATACTGTTCTTATTAGCTTAACTAAACGCGGTACTTTCATCAGGTTTTGTCATAGTTTTTCACACTGGAAACAAACTTTTGGGTATTTAAACTCTAATGCTTTTTTGTGAGTAATTAGCACACTTCTTCCTTAATCCATATCGAATAGGTTTGGGAATAAAAACTTGAAAAACTATAAATTTTGGACAATATCATCGATCAATTTCGAAAATTTGCGTCTCACAAACCTAACAAGACCAATTAAATAGCGTCAATTAAAATTGGAGCAATTTGGTTGTGCTAAAATCATCAAGCGCGCATAGCTTAGTCCAGAAATTGGCTAAATTGGCAACTTTTAAACTCCCATAGTTTTCAAAAAATTGATTGGAGGTAAAGCATTTTTTTAAAATTGATTTTGAGGAGTCGATACATTCAAAGGAGTATAATTTTTTTAGCAAAATTTTTATTTCAATCACCGAAAATTGACTAAATAAAAAAACCTCACCAAGCATAATTATTCCAATTTCTCCGAAAATCAGAACAAAAATGAGAAAATCAAAAAATCGAAAACACAAACAATATTGAGCTAGCCTAATATACGTATCGTATTTCAGAAGGAAATGTCTGTATAAAACAGAGTATATTTAACAGCGATAACCCTACTTTCAAAAAATGTATTGTTTTATTTAGGACTTACTTCGCAGCAAAAAATCATTGCCCTTCTCCAGTTTTGAAAATGGGAGGGAAAGAGGAAAAAACCAAAATTTTTAACTTCACTTTTCAAAATTTTTTCAAGTTGAGAAGTAGTGTTTTCGAAAAATTTGTTTTTATTTTTTTCAAGTTGCAGACAAACTCTATCTGATAAAACCCGTAATTACTGTTTTAACACATTTTATATATGACTTGTTCAAAACATGAACAGAAAAAAACATTATACAAAAAACGGGTAGCTAACACTTGCAATCAAACATTCATTAGAAAAAAAATATAGCTTATCCCGTTTCAAAATAATTCATTCGACACTAAAAATATATTTAGTGAATCCTCCGGTTTTTGACAAATTTTGTTTCCAGGGCAGAAATTTTCGTTTTGAAAAAGTTTTTTTATTGATTCTGCCCATGCCAACATGTACTCATTTTAAGTTGAAGGGGAAAACGTATATGTATAGTCATGGGATAAAAAAATTTGAAAATTTGTTTTATACTGTTTTTGTGGAAAAAGATTCAATTTTCATAGCAAAATTTTAAAATTTAAAAACCACAGAGTCTTTATACCAAGCTTGTAGTTAACACTATTTCAAAAATCCAGCCAGATTTTTTGTTTTGCCTTTTTGAAATTAAATAGTTTTCGTTCGATTTTTTTTCTATTCGCTCTTGGTGCTCTCAATATTCATGCATTGACCTGAAAAACAAGATTTAAAAGATAAACAAGATTGTTGTATCAAGGCGAAGCCTTGAATTGTCCGACTGTTTTTAAAATGAATTTAGATTTAAACTTTGATAACGTTTTTTTTTTAAAAACACTAAAACAAAAAAGTTTTTGAATTTTTTTAAATATAAATCTCTAGTTGATGACGTATTTTTTTCTGAATTTAACTAATTCACCACATGTCATACGCTACCAGGCCCATTGAAATTTTTTTTTTAATGTCAAAATTTTGCTGCTTCACAAAAATTATTCTACTTTTTTCTGTCATATGAAATTTTGACAGAATTTTCATATGAGCAAAAATGTTTGACAGACAAGTTTTTTTTACATTGTGTTTTGCATGATTTTTTGTTTGGTTTTGATGTACTACGATCTTTGGCCGAAATTTTGTTCCTTAATTTTGCTCTTTACGTCAAATTATTCACAGCTCTATAATTCATTCTGCAATTTTTCTGCTCTCTAAGCCATTTTTTGCGAATTGTGCTAAAAGCTGCTGCTAGCAGAACTCCACGGGGCTTTTCAGTTAGGCCAAAAAAACATGGCTTTAATTATCCCAATTTGGCCAAAGTAGTCCCTAATTCCATTTCTCAAATTTGTGATAAATAATTTAAAATGTAATATTGTTATAATTTTGTAATCAGAGGATTGATATCTTTCACATAAAAAAAGATTTTGCCAAAACGCTTTTCTAAAAAGACGGAGGTAGTTTGAATAAAATATTGCTCAAAGCAAATAAATTCCGTCGTCGGTTACAATTATGCAGAGAAATTGGAAGAAAAAAAGAGAGAAATTTTCAGACTTAATTAGAAGAATTCAAATTAACTACAAGAAGAATTAACTGTATTATAGTGCTAATGGAAATAAGCTGGAATATAATCAAAATTATCATGGCCTTAAAATCATACAAAACATGGCGGATAATTTTCAAAGTTTGGGCTTGCTTAACTTGAATTTAGCAGTAATAGCAATTCACTTGAGTTAATTTTTTTTGGCAAAAAATGATGTTTTTTTTCGAAATTTTGCAGGCATTCTAAATAACAAACAAGAAAAAATCAATTTTTTTTGTGGGTTAGTTGAACTTTCGCGAGCTTCATTTGGTGTAGAAAGCAACAAAAACTTATTTTCCCCCTGTTTTTCTCGTACAGAAAAAGAAGAATGTGAAAATTACAAAAAATACTTGTGGTAATATAAGTGTGACTTTGGACCGGGCGGGTTCTACATACTTCAACTCCTCCTCGGTACTGCTGCTTGCCTTTTACTATTTGCACTTCAAGCCAAATCCACCATTTTCTCCTCGATTGTTTTATTTTAAAATCCGATGTTGACAATTATACAACTTTTGCGTTCATCAAAGTGCCATAAAAGTATCAGCGCCGAAGAAAAAGAAAATGTTCATTTTAAATCTATGGTAAATCAAAGACAAAGTCGCAAAAAAGTTATTTTAGCATCGATGCTAGTCGCCAGTGTTTTAAAACAATTTATGAGCATGAAAGTTTGAAGTTTTTCAGATTTTTTGCTTTTTGACAGATAAAATTTTGGACAAGTAAGTCGTTTATTCATCGATTTAAGCTAGAGACTCGCTAATTTTCTAATGTTAGTTACTTTTCAGCCATATTAAGTGTGAAATGATATTGTGCTGATTTTGGTGAAAACTAATTTTATGACTCAACAGCTGTGTGTTGTGATTTCGTCGTGTGGGTGAAGATTTTTTGCCCGGCCAATCCTAAATTCTCCCTAAAAGCGAATTAATGCTATTTTCAAAAAATCCATGTGTCATCACTTTTAGCACGGAAAGTTTTAACGGTCGACCAAAAAAACGGTTAACAAAAAGTTTTTGAAAACCCAGCTCACCCGTTTAATAACTAGTAGATCACCCCTGTTAACTCAAACGCGTATAGTACAATTTGTTTTTTTTTTCGCGTAAATATATGCAAGATTATTTCAACATGCTAATATGCGGCTTATGCTTATAGCACCACATCAAAAAAAGTTAATCGCTATTTCATGCTCAGCTTGCGGTGCTAGATTGTCCCATGTTTTTTTCATCAGAAATTTCATTCTTTGAACCGTCCTAGATTTATGGTCCGCCTTTTAAAGCTCAAATATGCGCTCTCCTGTCAAGATTGTGGCTTAAAATTGGTTAAATCTTCAAACGTATATCTTATTTTATAGTCGGAATGAACCGTGATAGGTTAGAAATTCAACATGAATGAATACTTGCAGACAAATAGAACATCATTTATTTTGTGTTTTTCCGTTATTTTCAGCCAATTCTACTTACAGTAAGAAAGTGCATTTATAAATTAACAATTACAGTTAAGAAACAGTTTTACAATTAGTTATAGTATTAAGATTTGATTTTGACCTGACTATACTTAGTCGAAACTCCAATAATTATCCAAATTGACGAGAAATTCTGTATAATTTCAAAATAGTTTTCTCGATGAACTTCTTCAGACATCTGTATTTTAATGTTCTTCTTCAAATTGCCAATTCGAGCTTGGGGCATATTTTAACTGGACTCTAAAGCACATTTATTGCTTTACACCCAAAAGCTCTACTTTGTAGGTGACATAGTAAAAACAGAGTATGATACTTGAAATTAAATTGATTTTTTGACGGATTGACGTCACGTATGAAGCTTCCTTTTTCGTTTTTCTCGTTGATCAAGTTAGTTTTTATGTTAAATTTTCAACTTTGCTTTTTTATATTCATTTTTTTTTCAAATTCAAAACTACTTGAGTAGAATTTAATAAACTGTTATTGACCATTCAATACTTGAGGCTGCAAAATTTGACATTTACTTCATTTTCTTCCTTTTTATTGCAACTTTCGGCAAAGTTTGGAATCACCCCTGAACGCTCATTTTAATTCACACTGCTAAGAGTGGTTCATTTTCACAATGCTGATTATTGATTTTTACTTTGGTCCATGAATTAAAAGTCTGATTGTTCCAACCTCTGATTGTTTCGTAGTTCTTAACTCTCTGCTTACTACAGCCTTTGCTCCTGCACGTATTTACCTAGCTGCTAATGAAAATGTGAGTAAAAAAATTGAAAATTTATCAACATAATTTCTTTTTCTTTCAAGAAAAGACTTTCCAGAAAACTTGCACAAAACTTTGATCTTGTTCCAATACATTTCGCTGTGCGCAAAACAATTAACATTTACTCCTACAAATAGAAAAAAAAACTTGACTACCAAAGGACCGGTAGTTTTTCTATTGTGGTGAAAAATAGCCTCAAAAGTGATATTCCGTTCCAAATTGTGTTAGTAGTCATTTCTCCGACTAACAATTTGTACCTTTTCGGTTTTTGAAATATTTGAGCAAATCATAAATTGAAGAATAAATTTTAGATAAAACTTGAAAACGTAAAATTGATCAAAGAACGGGTGAGTATGAATTTACAATGTTTCCAAAACCTCTGCTACAAAAACCTCACCGGAAAAGAGAACTTCGGGGGTTCAAAAAATGAAAAATGTTGTGTTATGGTTATTGGTTAAGAGTACCAAAAACGTTGAATTTTGTTTTATGGTATATATATTTTTTCATCATTCAAATTTAGGGCCAACGATACATATAACTGGAAATGACATGATGTATTGACCTGAAGCTTTTCAAGACGGGATAAAGTTCGGAATATTTACACTTTTTGACTTGAGTTACTTTTCTGATGTTCGAATTATTTAAGCTCGGGTGTTTTTTCCAGTCCAATTTCTCTATAAATTCACTTGCCATTTTTTACAGAACATTTTTTATATCATTCGAAAAGAAATGTCTTGAGCTCATACTCAATATTTATTTTACCTGTGGTTAATTGTGTTTGCGGGTTTGAGGACTGCCCATTCAACCAATTTGGGATAAATAACGCGCGTTAGATATAGAACTCTTAACGAGTAAGCGGAGATATAATCCCTCTGAGATATAATTCAAAACTGAAATAAGACATGCTACTTGATCAATTACAAACTTTGCAATCTGCAAAATGTCCAGTTTTGTTTTTTGTCCTCAAAGCGTGTAAGGTGATTTTTGAAGAAAAATCTGACTAAAACTCTAAATATTGTATGAATGGCATGCGCAGAATTTTTCTAGGGGGCGGCAATTTTTCGAAAATAAAAGTGTAAAAACTTTGTCGATTTTTTTTGTAGGTCGACCAATTTTGAAAGCAAACACTACTCCATAGACCTTAACAGGCATTCCGATTAGTCAAAATTTTGCCTTGATACAAGCAGTATAGTTTTCTTTGTGTCATGAGGCGACCTTCGGTACCTCATTATATTCTATTTACTTATGTACTGTCTTATCTAACTATATCTTATTTATTTACTTATAGTGCAGTAAATTGATTCAAGGACAAATCTCACCAGCCAATTCGTTTGTCACTTGAGTTTTGGAAGCGGTCACTTGCGAGAGCCTTAAGTGTGAATTCAAGTCAGAAAACATTATACCTTTAAAACTATACATTCAATTCTGGATTCGATAATCATTTATTTGTTACTTTATTCTATCTATATATTTATCATATCTAATTCAATATCTGGATTTTATAACATCTTTTTCCCTACTCAAACTGAGGGAAATCTCATGGCGCAGCCAGCAGTTCCTGTGAATGAAGACAGGACTGACCTACTCGGAATACCACCCTTTTGGGCAAGAACATCGGTTAACCCACCTTTCATTTGGGAGACGTGGGTGGGACAATTTTTTTTGGCGGTGAGTCTCAAAGATAACATCTCACCGGGGGAGGTACTAGTTGCCCCAGCAGAGTTAGTGGATGAACCTTACCCAAAGCCCGAAGCACCGAGTGCAGATGAAAATGCCGCAGAGTTGGCCAATAGGAACCTCCGTATTGCAGCAGCTAATAGAAGAATCGACGAGTACAATCAAGACAGGAGACGAAAAGGACCTCGCATTGGAAATAACTGGTGTTACCATGAGGCAGAGGCGCGGTTGAAATCGCGACTTTTCTTCGCTCTGGGAAACGAGGGGAAAAAACGATTTTTGGATTCCTACCCTCATTTGGATCTCAATACTAGCTCGTTCAGAGATTTTCATAAGTGTTGTGAGGATGTCTTCAAGGCAGAGCGTGACTACACAGTCGAAAGGATTAAGCTATACAATACTATATTCATGCAGGATAATGACTCATTCTCGTCATTCTATGCCCGACTTAGCGCTCAAACCGCGTTATGTAACTGGCCGATCGATCAGGAAAGAGCAACATTGAAAGATTTGTTCATTGGCCGCATTCGCGATGTGGAAGTTCAGAGGCAACTAATCAGAGCAAAAGCTAATCTTGATGATACTCTACAACTGGCTTTGGAAAACGAGAAAGGGGCTAAAACATCAGAACAATTTCAGAAATTGCTCCCGCATAATAACGCTACTTTCAATTCTACAAACTCTATTCGAGTCAAACAGGAACCAACTTCGTCAGTACAACAATTTAAGAATCAAGGAAATAGCAGCCGGGGAGGTGGTGTATCTCGTCCTAACCAACGACAAAATCAAAACAAACCATGCTATTTTTGTGGCAACCCGTTTTCTTTGGAACATCGCCGGTCATGCCCGGCTCGAGAAGCTACTTGTAATGCTTGCAAAAAGAAGGGTCATTTTGCGAAGGTGTGTAACACTACGAGACGACGCGTTAACATGATACAAAACGACGAGACGCCTACAGATCAAGAGTGTAATCTAATTGACGTAAACGGTGACAGCGAGCCGGAATATGGGGTCATGGCAGTAGACGTTGTGCAGATTAACAATGTGGAGCTTCTAAAGACAGCGGGAGGACAACCAAGAAGCCTCAGCATTCAGTTACGATCCGGCAACTCCTTTTTCTATTCCACGGTGGACACTGGAAGTCCCGTATCCTTTTTAAACAAGAAGACGGCGGATATACTCATGAAGCGGATCCCCAACATTAAATTTAAGGACATCGCGAGACATCCTTTAGATGTTATTTATGTCGATTATAACAAGAAACCAATTAAACTGTTTGGTTCTCTGGAAATCCCTATTGCATCGAAGGGATGGAAGATTGATAAGGCGTGTTTCTTGGTTTCCGAAAATCGTACCCGAAATTTACTTGGTTTGAACCTTCATGAGAAGTTAGGAATTGAAACGGTGCAACGCAGACCGGCAGAAGTTAGTTACGCCGAGGAAGATGAGGAATTGGATCCGACCTCAAAATTCTGGAGGAACCACTTTGTCAACAGGTACCCTAATGTATTCAGCAGACTGGGGAGGTCTAAAAACCATAAAGTATTCACAAATTTTAAAGACCCGTTGGTGCCCAGACAAGTTAAAGGCCGAAAAGTCCCTATACATTTGCAAGATCGGGTCACGGCTGAGATCAAAAAGTTGATTAAAGACAAGCACATTGAAAAGTTAGAAAAGTGTACAACGGATCATTTCATTGCACCCATAGTCCTAACAGCAAAGAAAGATGGGTCTATAAAACTCGCACTGAATGCTAAACCTATGAATGCCCAAATCTGGCAAAACAAATATCAAATGCCTAATATGCATGAATTGATCGACTCGGCGGCTCAAATTATAACTAAAGACACACCTGGGGAGGTGTGGTTTACTTCTCTTGACCTTAAATACGCTTTCAGTCAATTACCTTTATCGGAACTAACCAGTAGTCATTGTAACTTTAGTATTTTGTGCGGAGAGGCAACAGGCACATATCGATTCAAGACTGGTTTCTACGGACTGACGGACATGCCTACGGAATTTCAGAAAGCGATGGACTGTACGTTACAAGGATTAGAGGGTGTCATATGTTACCTTGATGATATACTGGTTGTCACTAAAGGAAGAGTTGAAGACCATAATGTACTAGTCGAAAGAGTCATGAGTCGATTGGATGAAGAAGGATGGGCGTTGAAACTTAGTAAATGTGAGTTTTCAGTTAATAAACTAGTCTGGTTAGGGTACGAAATCGATGAAAACGGTTACGCCCCGAAATTCTCAAAAATAGAGGCAATCAAATCCCTGTTGCCACCCAAAACTCTTAAACAGTTAAGATCGTTTATGGGTACACTCAATCATCTCCAACGCTTCATACCGGATTTGCACAAATACACAGTCGCATTTAGAGCTTCGCTAAAAGCGGAGAATAAGAAATCCTTTCTGTGGGGGGAAGAGCAAACTATTGCGTTTCAAAAGATCTTAAACCTCATCGCAAACATCCCTAACTTGTTTCATTACGATGCTTCGAAAGCTTCACGTCTTAAATGCGATGCCAGTCATAGCGGGCTGGGGGCCTGTTTGGAACAAGAAGTCGAGCCAAATGTTTGGGCCCCGATTGCGTTTGCTTCTAGGTTTCTAAACTCCGCGGAAATCAAGTATAGTACCAATGAGTTAGAGCTTCTGGCTATTGTATGGTCGTGCGAGCATTTCCGTACCTATTTACTTGGTACACGATTTGTTATTCTGACCGATCATAAGGCCATCATTTCCGCCCTCAATGAAACGTATGGTAAAAAATCTTATCAGTCACGACTCTCTCGCTGGGCGGACCGCCTCATTCCGTTCGATTATCACATTGAACATATACCCGGTTCTTCTCTAGGCATTGTCGACTATTTGTCTAGATACCCGACTTTTGAAGCACCGTTGCCATCGTCGCATGACGAATTATTCGTCATTAAATCTATTCAAGCTTTTCATAATGCTTTAAATTCGATTAGTACTCGGTCTAAACCTCAAATAGTGCCGGTGGGGCATATTTCACAGTATAACGAGTTCCGACCAATCAGATCGCTTGGTGAAATTGGAGGCAACATTAGCTACCTCTTAACTCATACAACAGACCAATCAACGTTCGATTCATCTGACCAATCATACTGTTTTAAACAGTTCAGTTCGTCGCCGCACGAGGGCGTCACAAACTGTACTCAATCTGTCAACCAATCCCAAAAGGATATGCAAATTAATCATCGTTACTTCTCGCCACTAGAGGGCGTCAGTTCATGCTCTCAGTCAACCAGCCAATCATATTCTCGTATGCAAAAACGTGAGCATTTAAC